CTGTTCTGCTATGACATCCCAGGAAAAACATTTTTCCAGTGGATTTATTGAGACCCCATGGTTGAATAATTTGAAAATTCTAAAAAAGCAAATCTTGAGGTAATATAAATCTATTCTTTGAATTATAAATGCTCTGACATCTAAATTGTGTCAAAAATTACCCACATTACAAAGCATACAAGCATACTATTCTCTACAAGTAGATACTGAATAAAGGTTCATTGAGTAACTTAAAAATTTACTCTCTGGAAAGAAGCACATCCTGTAGTGTTGTGGAGCTTCCAAAAACTTCTAGATGTAAAGAATAAGGTGGTAAAGCTGTCAAAACAAAGTGAGTCAGAGACAAAGAATTTTAAACGAGAAGAGAGCGAGAAGAATGGGTGCAGAGTCAGCCCCACCTGTTCCTGCCACTACAGTGCAAGGCCAGGACCACACCTCATGCCACAGCACATCTCCTGGCTCTGAGCAAAGGATGAGCTCTGGATCCCATGGTCTCTGAGTGACACTAGGGAACAAACTAAATAGTATTGCCATGAAAACTGAAATATCCAGTCAGGTCATTCACTCTAATCTTTCTTTCTTCCTTCTACACAAATATAATTTAAAGCTTAGAGACATCTTAAATACAATCCATGTTTGTATACAGTTATCCTTTTCAATTCTCAAATAAAATGAGAAAAATACTTTTTTAAAAAGTTGAATACAAAGTAGCAATGTTTAAAAGCTTAACATATAAAATTAAGTGAACAAGAAAGACAAAATATACACTATAATTATTACTAGTAAAAATGTATACACATGAGCACGGATTGACACAGAAGAGAAAAATGAACCGTGGATACGTTAGGACAGGGTTTCTCCACCTCGGCACTATTCACATTTTGGGCTGGCTAATTCTTTGTTGTGGGGGATGTTCGTGTATAGCAGGATGTACCGCAGTAGGATCCTTGTCCTCTACCAACTCGGTGCCAGCAACATAACCTCAGTTGTGGGAACTAAAAATGTCTCCATACATTGCCAAGTGTCTCTAAACACAGGCTTAGAACTACTGTGTTAGACTAAAAGGATAATTTTTAAAAATTATGTTAACGTTGCCATAATGATGTTTGTTCAATAAATACATGTTTAGAGGGGAAAGGAAAACTCCTTACAATAGAGCATCTAACAGGCTCTTTTCTCAAGAGTTAGAATTTATTGAGTTCCCATTTAACGTGAAAAATTGAAAAAGCTGAAGAACTTGCTTTTCTTTTCCAAGAGAAAGCTGAATTTCTCAGTATTTGGAAACTGGACTTGGCTCTAAGCATGAGACATCACAACTGCTGTGACGGGCCAGAGAAATAACACTATCCAAATGATCCTAGTCCCAAAAATACTGGTTAAAAATGTACACTTCCCATATTTTCAAAATAAGTTTACATTTAAATCTGCATACTGAAGACTAGTAAGACTTGACAAAGAACACATACTTTAAGACAAATTAAAGTTTTCCAACCTAAAATACAATTGCACTGGATCTAAATGAATCTTATTCTATTTCTAAGGCTCTCTGTTCCAGTATTTTTAGGACTATTAAACCTGCTCCCTTGCCAAAAATATTTTCAATCACTCCTCCTCATTGTTTTTGTTTCTTGGCTCACATCACAAAGAAAGTTTTCTGATTAAGAAACTGATAAGAAGAGGAGGCACAAGAACTGTTTCAAGCATCTCCTTTCCAGAAAATTCTATCGTATCAAGGTGTTGGGTTCATATGGGCTTAAAGTTGAAATCCTGTTACATGATCATTCTGAATGATCTTTTCATAGGCATGAATACATCACTCACTAAAACGTAAGCCTGACACAGCATTCACTTAAGCAAGGAACAATCTTCTTTCTTTAGATAAGCCCAAAGTGGGCCCAAAAATGCATTCTGATTTTTTCCCCTCCATTTTCAAGCCACACTAGGCTGGTAGTAATTTACTGTTTGTATTTACCCCAGTGTGCGTTTCTCCATTCAAGTCTTTAGTTTATTCAATATAGAAAGCTTGCCATAGTGCAGAGAACCCGAGAAAATCTTCCAAATCATTCCAGGGCTGGAGAATGTGAAATATTTAGCGACCCAAAGCTCTGTAGCAAGAAAGCGGAAGGGGGTGGTCTATAGATGACAGAGGTGGTGACGAATGGACATTCAGTAATGTGCAGCGTGGACAAGAAAGGGTGAAATGGCTGTGGAACGACAGGATGAGAAAACTGGTGCTCAGGGTGATGAGACAAGTGGATGAGGTTGTAGCTTGAAAGGCAGAAGGTAACTGACTTGATGACGCCTGATGCTAAGAATACAAAGGGCCTCTGGAGCTTCATTGGGAATGAATGCTTCATTCAAGGTGAAGCAAAAAATGGCAGTTCTTTGTTCTCAGGCCTAAAATCGGGGGGAGCCGTGGCTTCGTGGACTTTGTACCGGCCTGGACCTTCAGGTGCGCTCGTCTGCGCAGGGGTGAGTCTCGGCCTGGAAAGGGAGGAAAGGACCGCCTACCTAACTGACCCGTGCGTTCGGAGCCCTCTCTCCATAAGCGCGGCAGCCTAGCTGCACACGCCTGCGGCGGCTGCGTCCCGGGAGAGCGCGAACCCTTCTTCAGGCGGAGTCACTCCGGCCGGCGGCCAGGAAGGCCGAGCCGGGAGAGGCTCTCGTCCCGGAGTCTCGGGCCACACTGGGGAGGCAAGCGGGAAAGACCCGGAGCGGAGAACAGGGGCTTCCTTCTTCGGGCTGAGGCGGGACCCTCAGGAGCCAGGCCGGAAACTGTCTCCCGGAGACGGCGGCCAGGGCCCGGTGGCTCCCAGCCCGCCGCCCGGCTCCCTGCCGCAGGTGCCACCGCGCCCCGGGCGTCATAGCAACCGCGCTCGCCGCGCAGCCGCCAAGGCGCCCTTCCGGCGGGCGCCCGAGAAACGACGCGCTCCATTGGCTCCGGGGCGGCTCTGTCTGCGCTGACCGCTGTTGCGGCGCACACCATTGGCCTTGGGGCCGTGGGGCGGGGCTCCTCGGCAGGAACGAAGGAACGTCTCATTCCATTGGCTTTGTAGTAACCATGGTAACGCCGTGGCGCGCATTCGCACCTGAGGGGATACATTTAAAACGAAGAAACCGGGCTTGACTAGAATTTATCCCTAAGGCTGAAGACCTTTAGAAGTCCTAAGCACTAAAAATTCGGTTTAGGCGTACCGTATCCTCCACCTACGTAATGCAAAATAAAAAATTCTAAATTACACAAAATGTAACCTACGCTCGGTTTACATCATCTTCATTTAAACGCCCTTATTGCAAGACTCCAGGTAGTTCATCATAGCTGGATTTTACTCATGTTTACTCAGGCCCTTGCTTTGCTGGTACTCCAAACACCTACTTGCCTTTCTTAACTCTTATTCTAGTTCCACACAGGATCCTTCCCAAAGCTTTGCCGGTTCCGCGTGCATTATCTGGACGGATCTTACCCCTTACTTTCTAGAAGTGCTTCAATCTCTCCCTCTGGCACCAGAGCCCTTGCAAGTGTTTTATCCCTGATCTAAAATACTCACCACCATCACCTCCAGGCCACTTAACTCCTACTTATCAGTTCAAGTGTCACTTCCCCAGGGATACATTCCTTGGTCCTCCAGTCTAGATCAAGTTCCTTATTTACTCTCATTGACTCCTGTTTCATTTTCTTTTTTTACACACTCCACTTGCGGTTAAAACAAAAAACAAAACCTCTTGGAATTTTTACATGTGTAAATACTGTTTAAGTGTTCACGATGGAAACTAAACTGAATTGGAAAACACTTTAAATAATTCCATGTAGGGTAGTGGTGGTTGTTTTCAAGCATTAACAAAACAGGATAGGAAACAGTTCCCAAGGGAAGTAAGAATTATGGCAAAAACAAACCTTAGGATCACTTCTAGCTTTAACTCCATTTATCCTCATTGTACGTTCAAAGATGATAATGATAGTCATCATCCACATGAAGCTACAGATGTAGGGAAGAAAATCAGTCTTTCACTTCCTGCCCCTTCAGCACTGCAGCTACTGCTGACAGAGCTTGTTGCACTTGAGGTTTCACCTCAAGTTAATTCAAATTTTTTGTTCAATGGGACTGCTGCTTCCAGAACAGTCCTGATTGCTGCAGTTCTATTTCCTCTGCTCAAGGTTACCTGACTTCATTAATGAAGTATTTCAGTTCATCTTGGCACTTCTGTTCAAATCTTTTCAATTAAAATTTATTGTACCTCTATTATCCATCAGACACATCAGGCTACCCTTTCCAACTCACTCCATGAAATATCACAAATTGTATTTTAAATCAAATTTTTATGTGAAGTACAGTACCTGCTTCTACCTAGTTATTAATAGTAGTTTTTCACATTGCACTCTGGACCATCCTACAGGTCATTTAAGGGATTTTTCTGGACTACACTTCATGTGCGCTCCTAACCCAAAGCCCAGGACAGTGAGAGGAGCTTTGAGAACCTCAAGGATTCAGGGCTCGAACAGGGCACCCGAATAACACTGCCTTGCTAAGTGAGAAAAATAATTGCAATCATTTATTGAGTGTGCAGTTTTATTTAATCCTTGCAACAAATGGCATTATTTTGCAGAGATTTATTATCCCCATTTTATAGGTAAGGAAACTAAGTCACGTGTCTAAGTTTACAAAGCTAGTAGGTGGCACACCTGGAAGGGTCAAACCTGACTAAAATGACTCCAAAGCCAAAACTATTCACCACATTGTAATACTTCCCTCAGGGCAGAGGTCACCAATTGACCCCTGCCAGGCCCCAGGTGGAAGCCGGGTTAAATTTCCCTGTAAAGCAGTCCTAAAATATTCGAAAGCTAAATTGTTAACTCAAATATGAATTGAATCTAGGAAAAGATGCAAACGTAAACGTAGTGGGAAGCTCATCATTCTACAGGCAATCTATCTCCAGGGAGGTATTCTTCTCTCCTACTCCCATCTTTGATAAATTTCCAAAAAAACATCTTTTCCACTGTGTCGGCTTTTGGGCACACACTTTATTGCACTTAATTTTTTATATATCCATTTCCCAAACTAGACATGTTTATTCATCTTTTTAATCCTCAGGTCCTACCTCATAGTAGGCCTCAACAAACATTTGATCTTCAAAGCATGGCCATTCATGCATCCATAATCCTTTTTACAGTATGAAGGAGGTTGATTTTCAGGCCCCACATGTATATTTTGAGGAATATAATTCCCAATAAGCTCTTTTACTTAAAAGTGAGAAACGGCTCCTGTTCATTTTCAAAATCAAGTTGACATTTAGGTGTGTCAGGCGGTTCGGTCATAACTACTTTGCCTTTGTTTTCATTTTCAGTGAGTATGAAATGATCTTTAAAAGACAAATACCAAACCATATTCGCCTGCACACCACTCACTGCTTTTTTCCCCCTCATTTTCTCTGTCTTTATGAAAGCAAAGGATTTATTCTAGTTCTCACCAGCTGTGAGAGCCCTGGTCCACTGAAAAATTTTTGATCCTATAAGGACTTTTTACTTCAGTTTTTGTCATGTATAAAAGCTGTGTGTCGAGACTGAAGATCACCCACTATCTTCTCTTCTATCTCTATGCCTCTTTCTACTTCTTCTTCTGATAGCAATAACTTGGTTTCCGAGTCTTTGGTTATAATAACCACAAAGGACCGTCGTGACTCAAGGATATTAGCCACCACCACTTGATGTCGATAGATTTCCAAAGCATTCCGTGCACGCTCAATTACGATGGAGGGGTCAGTCTCCAACTTAAAGGAAATTATAAATGCTTTGGGAGCCCAGTCTTTAACCAAAGGAGAAAGCATTTTTGGCACCATCTTCATTGTTATCTGTATTGGAAAAAGAAAAGCTTAATAAGCAAACAAAGGTCACTACCTACCAGGTCAATCTCATGGGGAAACTAAGGAAGCAGGGACTCAGATTTTTGGCTACGTCAATTTAAGTGGGATTTCTCTTTATCAAACTTTTCAAAGCATATTAAATGCTTAGCTTAAAAGCCTTGGCTCTATAGTGTTCATCAGGATGCCTAATTTCAAGGCTTCATACATATTCTGGGGCAAACCATGTCTTATGAATCGGCCCTGGTCTGCCACCTTCATCACCATTAATAGAACTCTAAAGAACAGCATTACATTTTCTCACACATTCTCCTTTATTTTTTAAACTAAACCTTCAAATAAACAAATGCAAATAATCTATTCATGCAAATGGTACTTTGGCAGAAGCTCAAATAAAGTGGGCTTATAAATAGTTTTTAAACCTCTCAGCTTAAAATATTTCTTGCACTGACTGAATCCTTCCTTTTAAAAATCGTCACTTGTGGGGACGCCCGGTGGCACAACGGTTAGGTCGACGCACTCCGCTTCCACGGCCTGGAGTTCACAGGATTGGATCCCGGGCGCAGACCTATGCACCGCTCATCAAGCCATGCTGTGGCAGGCATCCCACATATAAAACAGAGGAAGATGGGCACAGGTGTTAGGCTTAGGGCCAATCTTTCTCAGCAAAAAAAAAAAATTGTCACTTGTAACACATCTTAGCATTGAAGAAACAGAACTAATGTTACTTTCACTTGGTCAAAACTCCTCTATACCATTCTTGATCCCTTCTAAGGGGAATGTTGAGATGTTCTGTGTACTTCCAAGACAGAACTAAAAAACACAGGATAAACTAAAGCTCTCAGAACTTAAAAAGTGTGAAATCACTAAGCTAATCATCAGGATTTCCCCTCAAAACGTTGGCAAGTGTGATAGGGATCATATACCCATCCTCCACTTTATTTTTCTCCTTAGCATTTATCACTAATATAGTATGCATTTGACTCATTTACTGTCTCCTCTACAGAGCATAAGCAAGGCAAGGGCACAGTACATGTTTTTTCACTGCCTTATCTCCAGGTCCTACAATATGCCTGGCATGTAGTACATCCTCCATAAATATCTGTTGAAGAAATGAACAAATGAACTATCCTACAAAATCAGCAAGTGCCCCACAGGTAGAGTTTCTCCTACTTAAATTCTACTCCCATCACCCAGTAAAGGACTAAGAATTCCCTTGGGTTCCAAGAAGCCAGATCATCTGAACATCTCAACCACACCACTAGCCTGCCCATCCCTCTTCCTTAAATCCCCATCCAATCTATCCCCAATCCCCACCCCCCAGAATTCACCTTTCATATGGATGCCAGATGTTCTCCTCAAATAAAAACTTTTATCTCATTCTCCTATTTATGTTTCCCTCGCTTCACAGGACAAAGTCCAAGCTTCTTAAGAAGGAATACAAAGTCTTCTATGAAGTAAGCTGTCTCTTCAGACTGTCCTCCACTCCCACCACTCTCCCTATTCTCCAGCCTTACCAACTTCAGTTCACAGCACACTGCCCATTTCCAAACTCTAATTGTGTAGCTCATCTGGAAAGCCCTTCCCTACTTTGTCTGGTATACCCTCTGCTCAAATTTTTTTTTTTTTTTGTGAGGAGGACTAGCCCTGAACTAACATCTGATGCCAATCCTCCCCTTTTTTCTTGAAGAAGAGTGGCACTGAGTTAACAGCCGTGCCCATCTTCCTCTACTTTATATGGGACGCCGCCACAGCATGGCTTACCAAGCAGTGCGTCCATGCGCGCCCGGAGTGGAACCCACCAATCCCGGACCGCCAAAGCCGAGGGCGCGCACTTAACCGCTTAGGCCACGGGGCCGGGCCCCCTCTGCTCATCTTTAAAGCCCAGTTCAAGTCATCTCCTCCAGAAAGCTTTTCTTGACTTCCCCAAGATTCACTCACCCCATGCTCTGACTTCGCTTTGTACGTACCTCTACTAGAGCATTTATCACTCTGTATTGTAATTATGTCTGTGTCCAGCTCCCTCACTAGATCGTGAGGTCCTTGAGGGAGGGCGGTGTCTTATTCATCTCTTTATGCCTAGTGCCTAGCACATACGGAACGCAGAAAGGCCATCTCCAGATCAAGAGGGAATTAACCCAAGATTGGTTATAGGGGATCAGATCTCTGGAAGAGAAGCGCCCATCACCTGCAGTGGGCCCCCAGATGACTGGATCTTGTGTTGAGGCATTTCAGAGACAGGAACATAGAAATCTGACACGGCTGCAGCCAGGTAAAACATCGCAGAAGGGCCTGCAAAGAGAAGCACAAGATGGAATAAATCAGAAAGGGGTATGGGATCAGCTCCTTTTGAACTCAGGTTCCCTAGCTGTGAGACCCGTGGTAATGAGGGGGTGGGGGATAACCGTCTGGGGAGAGAGGCTCTGCCTCTGGGCAACCGCTAGACTCCTAGGGCACGCACCTAGCGGATTGAGCGCCTGGGCCGCAGCCTGCAGCAGATGCAAATAGTCCGCCAAAGTGGTGAACTCTACGGCCAGGAAGGTGCCGGCAGCCGCAGCCTCCTGGTAGCTCCGCAGAGCCGCAGCGAAGCCCGGGAGTGCATTCTCCTCGGCCTCCAGGCTCAGCAAACCCGAAGGGCCTGGGCCGGAGGGCCGCAGGGCCGCCAGCCAGGTCTGGGGCGGGAAGCGGTGGGCAAAGGGGAAGGCGGACCGCGCGCGGTACAAGAACAGAACCCCGTAGCCCGCGGCCAGGAAGGCCTCGGCCGAGGCTGCACCGCGCCGCCCGCTGCTGAAGTTGTCCAGGAAGCGCACTGGCCGGGCTTCCAGTGGAACCTTGGTGCCTCCGGACGTCACCAACACCACTCGTCGGCCCTGCTCGCCCAACCTGGCGGCGAAGCGAGCCATAACCTCGGCCCAGCGCGCAGCACCGGCTGGCTGGGGGAACTCGGCGACCAGATCCACTTCCGCCATCAGTCCCGGGCACCCCTCGCGGCTGCGCACGCTCCAGGGCCGCCGGCGCCACGCCCCCTACCCCCACGCCTGTTCCACGCGCAGCCGCAGTAATGACGGGGAGGGTCGCTACCCTACGCTGGACGCCGGCGTCGGAGTTCTCGGCGTCTGGAAATGTGTGCTGACGCTGCCGCGCGGCCCTTCGAATTGACCCTGAGCCGACGGCAGTTCTCGGCTGTGCAGGCTTCTGGAAGGGTCTCGTCCCCTCCTGTTAGTTTCCTGGGCTGGGCAAAGAACTGGCCGTGTTTGACTTTTACCGGCCACCGTATAGGCATTTCCGGATTCCAGGGGACTTAGGCTGCCGGCCGTTTAACCTTTGAGACTTGTGGGCGGGGCTGTTTTTTGGGTTTTTGAACCCCACAAACACACTCTAGGGGTCAGTAGAGTCACGCCCCTCCCCCTTGCCCTTGAAATGATGGCAGTGAGGCGGCCCCGTGGTGGTCACGTGACGGCGACGTCCAGCGTGTCCTCGCCGGGCAACCGTCCTAGAGAGCGACCCGGCTGGCTGCGGGATGAGCGTGATCTACCCGCTGGCGGTGCCCAGGGGCCGCCGGCTCTGCTGCGAGGTGTGCGAAGCCCCCGCCGAGAGGGTGTGCGCGGCCTGCACAGTCACTTATTACTGGTAGGCCCGGAATCGTGGCGCCTGAGCGCTCACCTCCCTCCCTCTCTCCCGGTCACCGGTCTGGGCCTCGGTGCCTCGCGTGAGCCGTAGCCGAGGAATCAAGGTGGCTTCCACGCGGGTCCATAAGACTTCTCTGCCCTCGTCTGCCCCCTCCCCTGCTCACTCCTTCACTGTTCTACTGGAGGAAGTTTCTGGGGAAAACTGGGTACACCATGTCCCTCAAAGATCTAACATCCTAATGCGGAAGACAGATAAGTAAACAAACAGAAAACAAGATGATTTCAGAGAGTGATAAATGCTATAAAGACAAATGTGATGGGAGGTTGGGCAGACAGCCCGTCTCAGGGTAGACTGTTGATCTGAAGATCAAGTAGGAGCAGCCCGCCGTGGAAATGCTGGGGGAAGAGGGGCAATGTAGGCTGTGAGGGAGGAAGGACTGATGCGTTTGAGGAATAGAAATCAAGCTAGTTTGTCTAGTGCACAGCCACGATGGTGAGGGTATGGGCAGGGTAGTACAAGATGAGATCAGTTTTCATTTATTCAGCATAACAATCCCTGACCTTTGCTGCAGATTAGACTCTCTTTTGGGCCTGAGATAAAACATCTACGGGGCTGGCCCGGTGGCGCAAGCGCTGAAGTGCGTGCGCTCAGCTGCAGTGGCCCGGGGTTCGCGGGTTCGGATCCCAGGCGCGCACTCACGCACTGCTTGCCAGGCCATGCTGTGGCGGAGTCACATGTAAAGTAGAGGAAGTTGGGCACATGTTAACCCAGGGCCAGTCTTCATCAGCAAAAAGAGGAGGATTGGCAGATGTTAGCTCAGGGCTGATCTTCCTCACACACACACACAAAAATCTAGATTGCTGATGTCCAGAAATCTACTAACTTGTTTTAAAAAGAAAGTCATTATAATACACCTTACGTGACAAGTGACAAGTACTATCACTCAGGATGTGCTATTCCCTGGGCCCTGTAAGGATGGAAGCGTGGTGACTGGGACAGTATCTGGAAAGGTTTCTCTGAAGAAGTCACATTTGAGCTGAGTCTTGAAAGGTCAGTAGGAACTTGCTAGGTGAAGGAACAAGGAAGAAGGAAGGGTAGGGCCCTCCTGGCGTCCAGGACTGCTTGGGTAAAGAGTGAAGAACCGAGTTTGTTCAGAGCTGGGTGGGGAAGATGGTAGTGGGGGGAGCAGTCGATTTTCACACTGTAGTTTGGGACCCATTAGCAGGTCATGAATAAACCACAACCAGCATTTTAAGAAAAAAATAGACTAGAATAGAAAGTATCAGAGTAATCCTACTTGAGTTGTTTCTTAAAACTTTTGTTTTAGTGTTTTATGTGGATATGTATGTTTGTACTGGTAAAATGTGTCTCTTACTATGGGTTGAGTCAAAAAAAGTTTGCACTCGTTGTGATAGGTGGTAGTAGAAATTTAAATCAAGAAGATTTGGCCCATTTTAGGGCCAAATGGTGACATAAGATCAAGGAGTTTGGAATTTATCCTGTGGAAGGCCATGATGGTTTTGACATGCTTTCGTTTGTGTTAAGGAAAGATGACAGGTGGCAGTGTGGAAGATAGATTGGAAGGTAGACAGTGAAGGCTGCATAACTGGTTAAGAACTTGTTGCGATGATCCCAGTGGAGAGTGAACTTACTGCCTCAGACTGAATTAGTTGTCCCTCCTCAGTGCTCTCATCGCACTTCATAGGTCCCCTATCTTAACACTTATGACCTGGATTGAAATCAATTGTTTTTTTTTCGTTTTTTTTTTTTTTTTGTGAGGAGGACCAGCCCTGAGCTAACATCCAATGCCAATCCTCCTCTTTTTTTGCTGAGGAAGACCGGCCCTGGGCTAACATCCATGCCCATCTTCCTCTGTTTTATATGGGACGCTGCCACAGCATGGCTTAACAAGCGGTGCGTCGTTGCGCAGCCGGGATCCGAACCGGCGAACCCCGGGCCGCCGCAGCGGAACGTGCGCACCCAACCGCTTGCACCACCCGGCCGGCCCCGAAATCAATTGTTTAATGGTCTGTATTCCTCACTAGGCCGTTTGCCCCACGAGGGCAGTGCCGGCATCGGTGTTTTCATTTCTGTTTCTTCATTGCACATAGAATACAATTCAGAACTTATAACAGAAACTACAAAGCCCTGGTTACCGCTCTACCTTCATTTCCCACCACACTCACCCCCTCTTTTCCTTGATGTAGTTGCAGAGGCTGTCTTTCAGTCCCAATTTGCTAAGTCCTTTCCTCCCTAGTTTCTTTGCCCAGGCTGTTCCCTCTGCTGGGAACCTCCCCTTCAACCACAAATCTTCTTAGCTCCCTGTCATCCTGCGGTTCTCAGAAATGTTATTTCTTCAAAGAGGTCTTTGTGGAAAACCCAATCTAAATACTCGTCTCTCATTTTTGTCTCACATTTTTCTTCACTTTTCCTGTACTTTTATATTTTTGTATTTACTTGTTAAATATGTGTGACTTTTACTAGGCCTAGTGCCCGCACATACCAGACACTCGATGATCATTTGTTGAATAAATGAACTTCTGAATGGATAATAAACCTATTAACTGGGGCAAGGAACACAGAGGGAGGAAGTGGTGGGTGACAGGTTGGATTAAGGACACAGAGTTTGAGGGGCCTTCAGGTTGCTTAGTAGAGATGGCCAATAAACAACTTTAAGTACAGGCCTGGCACTCGGGAGAGATTAGACCCCTTTGCCTGATATGAGCATCCACCTCTTCCCCTGTCCCCTTCATCCCTCCACCTCTTCCGCTGTCCCCTTCATCCCTCCACCTCTTCCCCTGTCCCCTTCATCCCTCCACGTCTTCCCTTGTCCCCTTCATCCCTCCACCTCTTCCCTGTCCCCTTCATCCCTCCACGTCTTCCCCTGTCCCCTTCATCCTACCCCCTCTTCCCCTGTCCCCTTCATCCCTCCACCTCTTCCCTTGTCCCCTTTATCCCTCCACCTCTTCCCCTGTCTCATTCATCCCTCCACCTCTTCCCCTGTCCCCTTCATCCCTCCACCTCTTCCCCTGTC